TAACCCAGGCAGTCTGGCACTAGAGTTCACATTGTCAGCCGCCACACCCTCCACTTCTCTAATCTTTTTTTTTTTTTAATATAAATTTTATTTAGTTACTTTTCAAGTACATTTTTTTTTATCTATTTCTCCCATCCCACCCCACCCCCCCGCCCGGTCTCCCCCCTCCCTCCCATTCCCCTCCCCAGTCCTCATCTCTGTGTCTTTCATACTTGTTCCTCGAAATCCCTCCCCCTTTTTCCCCTTCAGTTCCCTTCCCTCTCCCCTCTGGTCGCTGCCCACTTGTTCTCTATTTCAGCGTCTTTGTTTTTATTCTGTTTGCTTGTTTGTTTTATTCTTTAGCTTCCTGTCAAAGGTGAGATCATATGGTATTTGTCCTTCAATGCCTGGCCTATTTCACTCAGCATAATGCTTTCCAGTTCCATCCATGTTGTTGCAAAGGGTAGTAGCTCCTTCTTTCTCTCTGCTGCATAGAATTCCATTGTGTATATGTACCACAATTTTTGGATCCATTCATTTACTGATGGGCACCTAGGTTGCTTCCAACTCTTGGCTATTGTAAATTGTGCTGCTATGAACATTGTGGTGCATAGGTTCTTTGAAATTAATGTTTTAGGATTCTTGGGGTATAATCCTAGCAGTGGAATTGCTGGGTCAAAAGGCAGGTCGATTTTTATTTTTCTGAGAAAATTCCATACTGTTTTCCATAATGGTTGTACCAGTCTGCAATCCCACCAACAGTGAACTAAGGACCCCTTTTCCCCACAACCTCTCGAACATCTGTTGTTTGTTGCTTTGTCTATTATAGCCATCCTGACTGGTGTAAAGTGGTATCTCATGGTGGTTTTAATTTGCATCTCTCTGATAGCTAACAATATTGAGCATCTCTTCATGTGTCTCTGGATATTCTGTATGTCCTCTTTAGAGCACTTCTCTAATCTTTTTGAGTGGACTTTCTTATCTGAATAATAAAGAGATTATACTAGAAAAATCCCTAAAAATTTCTTTCAACGTTAAAATGCTTTAGTTTGCCTTGAGGTTTATTGTAGAAATATCTGGGTGTGTAAAATATTTTAAGCTCCTTGGGCAAGGGATAATGTGGGACAATATTATACACAACCTAAAATATTATTTTGATGAAAAGTCATAGTAGGTAATTGTAACCCAATTCTCTCTTCAATGTGGAAAACTGAGCAGTTTAAAAAGGAAAAGACAGATGGAATTTTGCTAACATGTCCAAGAAGGAAATATGATTTCACATGCATATTATATACAAGTTTATGAATGCAGTCATAGTGTCTGGAATCTAGGTAGGAAACTATGATGAAAATCAGTGATGTAAAATATCAAAATAAAACATTGCATGACAACTCCTAATGGGGAGCAATGTGGCGCCTTGAATAAAGCCACTTGGGAGTATTAACATGAGACCTAAGTGGCTGAAGGGCTCTGAATTTCCCTGGCGATATTCATATATCACGAAGTAAATGTTAGCTGGCAATAATTCAAGAAGCGACATGCTTAACATGCCCCTGGTGAGATGCTGAAGTTGTGATCACCGCCAGTTAATTGCGACATTCTACTTTGTGTCAAATTAAGTAGACCCTGGTTTGTAATTTCCTAAGAGCTTGTTTGGAGCAAAGATTTAGGATTATAAATCTCAATTAAGGACAGCACATGTGATTAGGTAGCAGACTCACCTATGTATATTTGCAAGGGTGGAGCCATTACTAACATGTTTCCAGTGAAACTGCTTCCATGTCTCCTTGACAGCAGAGGAGTGAGCCAGCATGGAAGCACACTGGGCATCTTGGAATAGTATTTCTGATTGAAGGTTTTAAAAACATCTTGAATTAATGAACTTCTAAAATGAGTTCAAACCAACATAAGTTCTACTTACGCAATGAATAGTTCAAATAACTTTAATTTTCATGTCAAATTAATTTGGTGGTTGGCAAGTGTTGAATGCCTTTATTCAATGCGCTACATTTAAATTCTAGTGGATGAGCTTTATTCTCCTTCCCCACCAAAAAAATTCGAAAGAATGACATTGCCTTTACTAATTACATAGTAGATTCTTGATGAGTGTGACTTTAACAATAAGCATGTCCTTTCGTTAGGAGCTGCTTGGGGATTGTACGTAACTGCAGTTCCAGTTCTCTGCTTATCCCTACTATAGTCTTAGTAGCATTCTTTTCCAGAATTCTGCTTGCAGCTCAGACGTTTACTGTGAAGATTCTTTTTGTTTGTTTGTTTGTTTAAAAAGAGATTGTATTTGCTTGCTGAATCTTTATGCATACTTGCTCTTTCCAAAGTGCGTTTTAAGCTATAGCTGAAATGATCTCAAAAAGTTATGCATGTATGGGATGTTATGACCTTGATTTCCATAAAGAGCCTAGCAGGTTGACACTCTGGGGAGTAGTAGTCTGAGGGGTGGGTGGGCAGAAGGACTAAGCAAAAAAAGGGGAAAAAGAGAAAGAACTCATGGAAACAAATAACCGTGTGGCAACTGGAGATGCAGGGGGTGAGTGGAGGGGAAAGAGGGTACAGGGAAGATAAATAGTGATGAAAAAATATGTTAAAAAATGAACAATTTAATCTTATATGTTACAAATTTCCTCTACTAACATGTTTATTTTATTGACTAACATCTCAGGGTAGAGAACATAAATTAATAAGAAAGTAGGGTTGGCATACTAAAAAGATAAATGACAAATGCCAAGTATGCTGTAGCATAATGGTTTAATAAAGTAAATAGAAAAGGAGCCAGATTTTTTCTTTATTGCAACATTGCAAAGTGATAAAGTCTCTAAATATGTAGCATAACGTAAACTAGAACTGCTTTATTTGACTCCTAATTAAGTTGATCACTTGTTATGAATGAGTAGTAAGTAGTATATATGAACACCTAAATGAGTTGGTACGTATCCAAATAACTCTAATAACATCCAGAGACATCAAGAAAGGGGATGGCTGTCTGGATAGTGAGATGTTTATTTGCTGTTTATTTTGAGAACAGTGACCTGAACCTCTTGTGAAATATTTTCTTCTGATTTCCCCACTATAAATAGCTCACTTTGGGTCTGATGGCTTCTAATCAGTGAATAATGATGGCTGACTGGGCCCAGTTATCAACAGCAACAATAGTAGTAGCATTTATAGGGGATTTAATCCTCATAACAACCCAGTGAAGTAAGGATTATTATTACCTTCCTTTTATTCACAGGCAAATCAACACTCAGAGAGTTTAGGTCACTGGCCAAAGACCATCAATCAATGCAAATATAATGGATAGTCATCGAGCTCCAGCTATGTTATAGGCACTGTGCTGGTTTTCAGGACTAAACACAGTGGGATACCGCTATCTTCTCAACTCACGGGGAGCTTTCTGGGGGAAACAGGAATTCCTAGGCAACTACAACATAGAGGGCTAAGAGCTAATATATGAATAAAAGCTAATATATATACTGCATTGGGGTACTGTGAAATAGAGAACAGGTTCATAAGGTGCGAGGAAGACTTCTGCAGGCAGAAAGTAACAGCAGGACGAGAGTTTTTCTTGTATGTAGCTTGCTAGTGAAAGTAGACTGTGTTTATCTTTATTCTTTTAGCTTTACAGGCTTTTGTTTTTTGTATCCATTATAGCTTACCAAGATGCCACGTGGGAACTACTCTCTTTTGCATATGTAATGCCAGGATAGAGCTTACATTTATTTTCATGGCTGTGTTTAGGAGGGTACTTATCCATTGTACCAAAGAAAATATATCCTTGAAAAAAAGCACTGAATGATTTTCTAGATAAATGTAATCCACAGCCAGCTGTTTATAAGATCAGGTTACTATTTATAAACTCTCAATTTTAATATAAGAAGTTTTAGCTGCTGAAAAGTGTTCTGTCATTTTGAAATGTTTTAACATTCAGAAGTTCAGCATTGCATGTACTTTCCAGCCATGTGTGCGATTACATGAATGTACAGCACCAGCAGAACCATCTGCAGACCTGACTAGATTTAAGAATGAAATGCATGACGTACTCAGTCAGTGCTGGATACTCTGAGCAGTCGGAGGAGAGCACCGGAGCGTTGTCTGCCCAGCACCTCTTTTCTAGAAAATGCCCCTCACTTCTACATTCACATGGCTGCCTTAGGTGTTGCCATGTTTATCAGTGTGACCATTGATTGGTTCGGGGTGGGGAGAAGGTCCAAGCTGCATTATCCCACTATTTGACTTCATTGGTTAGGCTTGACTAGTTGTAATCTATTCTGTTTCTGCACCAAATGGGTAGACTGTGATTCGATTCTGGCATTAACTGCCTGGGGTTAGTACCAGACTCCATAGATTAAGGGCTCTGTCTTCCAAGACAGCTTTCACCTTAGACTCCAGCTGCAAGTGAGGCCCCCAGGTCACTCACACTTCTGATTCACCTACTATGAGTTGGGGGGTTTCTATGGCTTCCTCAGTTTCTATAATTTGATAGAACCCACAGGACTCAAGAAAGTAGTATTCTCATAATTGCAGTTTTATTAGAAAAGACACCGCTCAAGAACAGCCAAACGAAAAGTTGCACAGGGCAAGCACTGGGAGGGTCGCAACGGCAAAGCTCCCATGCTTTCTCCTCATGGGGTCGGGGTGCCTCACTCTCTTGGCCTATCAGTGTGTTCACCAACCAGCAAGAGCCTTATCATTCAAAATTTGTTTGTTTGTTTAATTTTGTGTGCTATTACAGTTTTTCCTGCTTTTCCTTCCTTTTCCCACCTCCACCCAGAGTTACCCTCTCTCCTCCCTCAGTCAGTCCCCAATCATTGTCTGTGTCAATGGGGCATGCATAAGTGTTCTTTGGTTAATCCATTCGCCATCTTTCATACAGTTCCCTCTCCCCCATTAGCTCTTAGTCTGTTCCATGTATCTATGCCTCTGTTTCTATTTTGTTTTGCTCTTTATTGCGTTCATTAGATTCCACATGTAATAAAGATCATGCAGTATTTGTCTCTCTCTGACAGGATGATTTCACTGGATAATGTTCTCCAGGTCCATCTATGCTGTTGCAAAAGGTAAGAGTTCTTTTTCTTTTTTACTGCTGTGTAGTATTCCATTGTATATATGTATCCCGGCTTTTTTAATCCAGCCATCTACTGATTGGCACTTAGGCTGTTTCAAGATCCTGGCTATTATAAATAGCATTGCTATGAATGTAGGGGTACTTGTATGTATTTTTTGAATTGATGTTTTGGGATTCTTAGGATATATTCCCAGAAGTGGAATTACTGGGTTAAAAGGGAAATGCTGTACAGATGGTCCATAGACATATGAAAAATGCTCAATGTCAGTTATCATCAAAGAAATGCAAATAAAAACCACAGTGAGATATTACCTCACACCTGTCAGAATGTCTACCATCAATAAATCAATAAACAACAAGTGTTGGCAACGATGTAGAGAAAAGGAAGCCCCAGTGAACTCTTGGTGAGAATGCAGTCTGGTGCAGCCACTGTGGAAAACAGTATGGTGTCCAGAGTTTGTTGGGGTTTCATTAAGTAGGTGAGACTGGTGAACTCACTGACCATGTAACTGTACTCAGTCTCCAGCTTTCAGTGGATATTCAGTGGCTAAAAGTTCCATCTCTCTAGTCAGGTGTCTGGTCTCTCTGGTGACCAGCTTGCACACTGAAGCTATCTAGGCACCGACCCTGAGTCGTCATTTCATTAACACAATATTTATCATTCAAAAAGTTCCAGTGGTTTTTGAAGCTCTGTGGCAAAGACTAGAGACAAAGACCAGAAGTGTACTTTATTATATCAGATAACCCATTTTTGGAAATTCTGTTACTGGAAGTGAGTAAGAGAATTCAATCTCTTTGTGTTCCTGTAGTATATGTAAAGCTTAGGGCTGCTGTCTGCCATGTTTCCCAGAAAGACAGAGGCCGGTGTGTAGAGAGAAAAAGAGAAATAAAGCAGATGCTTGGAGAGAAAGGAGACTAGGGAAACGGAGGAGAGAGTGAGCCCTTAAAGATTTGAGTCTCTTTTCCAACTATTTCCTGTCCTCGGCTTCTGTGAGATTTCACATTGTTCTTATCAAATATTCTTTCCCCCTTCTGACTTTATTGATCTCCAGCTGAGTTTGTCCAACTTCTGAGCCCCTACAGTAGACTGAGCAAGTGAAGGCTTGTATGGCAATGGCAGTGCTGTGTATTCTTAAGTAGTGTTGAGTTGTGGGATTTATATCTACTCACTACATATTGCAGAGAAGGCCAGTTGTTGCTTTGTGCAAATGCCAGCCTTGTTACTCTTCAGAACAAGTTAGTGTCAGTGTTTGGGAAATGTTGTCCACTCATGGTCTGGTGTTTCCCTGCACACTCTGACAGTGGTCTCTGACAGGAAGAATATCTCTTCCTTTATAAGGTGCTACCACAACAGAATTGAAACCAGCATCCCAATTCTGGGTTTTGTTTTTGCTGACCCAGAATTTTCTGAAATGAGAAAGTGTAAAAAACATATGTAGTCAGTGAGAGAATAGTTAACTAGAACCCAGGTGTCCCCACACCAGTCCAGAGTTTTGGTACTACACTCCCCTGCAACCTCAAAAGGAGAAAGAAAAGCAACCAATTTCCTTTAAGGTTTTCTTCTGGGCATAGTTTGAGGAGCAAAAGCAAGGTATTTAAATTTAGGTTCCAAAATCAAAAAGTTTTAACAAACTTAATGAGGAATTACTCCCAATAGTGTTTTTCTGAGAGTACTTTAAAAGTTCACATTTTGTGTCGCTTTTAATTTAAAAGTAGATATTTCCAATAAACTTTTCCTTAGGATACAATTCTGTTTCAAGATTTCTCACCAATATACTGTAACCTAAATGCTATACATTATACTCTTAGAATTCAAATGCATTGGAAAAGAAGTCAAAATAATATTAACATGCTAAGTCCATCTAGATAAATTGATCATTATAAAAGTCTAGTAATATCAGACCAATGCAACAGACATGATTTCCTATCTTGCCTCAGTGTGGGCATTGGTGTATGTGTGTTTTCTACAGCAATGCAGACACAGAAGAGCAAATTCTTTCAATCAGTAAAACCAGTCCCTAATGGTATTCGACTTCATGTAGAAGTTTAACCCAAATTTTCTGAATGTAAAAAAACAAACCATTGAGCACGGGCCTGCGAACCAGACAATCGCGGTTCAATTCCCAGTCAGGGCACATGCCTGGGTTGCAGACCAGTTCCTTGCAGACCAATTCCCAGCAGGGGACGCATGAAAGGCAACCATACATTGATGTTTCTCTCCCTCTCTCCTTCCCTTCCCCTCTAAAGATAAATAAATAAAATCTAAAAAAAAAAAAAAAAAGAACAAACCATTATATAGAAAGTATGATCAAGTTCTCAGTTCTCTCAACAACAATTTGAAACATTCTGTCATTTTAGTGGCAGTGATTACCTATGTCCATATAAGATCTTATGAAAAAATCAACAGCCATGACAAGTCAATACTGGCAACATCTTTGACTCTCTCTTTATTTCTCTTTTGAAAATGTTAATAATTTGTGTCTGGTGATTTGGTTTTTTTATGGCTCAGCTCTGAAAGGGCTGTAATTCCTCATTAAATTGCCATCTACACTAGTACCACCAAACAATTCCTCCCTTCTATTATGATTTTTCCCTATTACCCTTGTAGGCATTTAAATTTTTTAAAAGTTGTCTTACTTGTTCTTTTAATTTTTTGGAAGGCTATAGGTAAGTGAATAGAAGAATTTAGCTTCAAAGAAATTCATATTTTACTTAGTTCCAAAAAGAGGAAATGAGAAGATCATTAGAAATTTGAGACAATTACGTGACTGATGCATCATCGACTTCCTTGTTATTAGTGATAGAAGAATCATTCAGGTGCTAAAACAAGCATCCCAAACTGCTTCGGGTGCTCACAGTTCAAGACAGCTCTCTCGGTACCACCATTGCCTACACCAACCCATTTCAAAGTCACTACGGCTGCCACCCTTGGACACTATGGAGGCTCTAGATACATAGAAATCTCAGTGATCAAAATCTGCTTTGTTCTGCAACTCTGGAACTCTATCCACAATTCTTCCCTTCCTGGGAAGGCCGGGTTTTTCTTATGAGTCCTGTTGGGAAAAACTGACTGGTTGAACTCTTTCCCAGGAGGCATCTCAATCCCTCAGGTAAACTGATTAATATTTTTTGAATTAATAATTTTGACATCTAATGCCAAATAACCAAGACCACTATATTAAAGTTGTAGTTACATGATAGATAGATAGATAGATAGATAGATAGATAGATAGATAGATAGATAGTCAATTACTGTGAAGTCTTACTCTGGGCTATAACTGACCTTTCTGGTTTTGATTTATTCAAATATAAAATAGTTACTAGTCTACAATGTTTTATAAGTTTTAAGGCTGACTAAGCAATCATTTACCAGTTCTTTCAATATATGTTCATTGATTTCTTCACACGTGCTAGTTACTACTACCCAAGTTCCTACCATACAATGAGATTTGAACCCCACTCTTGACCAAATGTATTTTCAATCAATCTATGTACAAAATTGGGATCTCGCCATAAACATTGAATATGATCTTAAAAAAATATTGCCGAATGCTACTCTTGACTCAGACATTTTTTAAAGTCAGACGAGTTGCTTAATCTCTTTCCATTCAACTGTACAATGCTTGTAGAAATGGTTGCCATAGACAAGGCAAGAGGGGTCTCTGGCTTCGGCCTCCCTTTTGAGGACCTGCATACTATAAACACTGCTTGGTTCCAAAGATATATTTCTTTACTTTTCTTGTCCTGTATCCTTAAACAAAAGACTCCAGTGTCCTTATACCATGAAAGTTTGTAGATTGTACAGCTGACAATGTCAAAAACAGACACTGCTTTGGAAATGTGGGACAAAAATATTTAGGTAAGAAGAAAAATAAATTTAACTTGCCAAATCCTTTCTGTCAGATAGCATTAGTACAATAGATTTTGGATTAGAAAGTATTTGTTTCCCAGCAGTCCTGAGAATCTATATTCTTGCTTTTCCTTGTTGCTATGGACTGAACTATGTTCCCCCCAGTTCGTATGTTGTAATGCTACCCCCCCAAAGTGACTGCATTTGGAAATAGAGCCTTTAAAAATGTGACATTAAGGTTAAATGAGATTATGTGGGGTGGGCCCTGATCTGATAGGGCGTGTGCTTATGGAAGAGATGCCAGAGGTCTCAATGTCTGTCTGTCTCCATCTCTCTCCCTGCACAGGAGCTCAGTGAAAAGGCCATGTAATGAATGACTGCAGCGAGGAGGTACTCACCAGCAAGCTAGGAGAGTCCTCACCAGAAGCCAAACCCTGCCAGGCCTTGATCTGGAACTTCTAGCCTCCAGAACTCTGAGAAACAAATTTCTGCTGTTTAAGACACTCAGCCTATGTTCTTCATTATGGCAGTATAAGCAGACAAATGCACTTATTTTCTAAGTCCTGGATCTGGGGGTAGTCATAAATTAATGAGGTATATGCAGCAATTTTATATGAAGGTGGAATATTATTTTACAATGTTAAATAAGTAATTCTCATACTTTTAATATGTATAATATATAACCATATATCTAGATGAAATGCGAAGCATGACATAGAGTCTTTTCCCCCAATTTTATTAAGGTATAATTGACAAACTTTATATATTTAGTATATGATGTGATTATCTGGTTTATGAATACATTATAAAATGATTACCGCACCAAGTTAATTAACGCATTCATCATCTCACATAATTTATTTATGTATTTATTTACTTATCTATGAGAATGCTTAAGATTTACTCTAAAAATTATGTATATAATACAGTGTTACTAAGTATAGTTTTCATGCTGTCCATCGGTCCTCAGAACTTACTCATTTTATATGTGAAAGACCAATGTCTGCCCATTTTTCTCAGCCCTCAGCCCCTGGCAATCTCCTATTCTCTTCTCTGCTTTTAAGAGTTTGACTTTTTCTTTTCTGACCCTGTATATAAGGAATATCAACCAGAATTTGTTTTTTCCCACTGCATTGATTCTTTGCATTGCCAGCTGCATGAACACTGAACATTTTGACTCTGAATGGTTTCATTTTTATAAAAATATTTAGTATGATACTATTACATTTTCAAAAATTAAATTAAAATTGTAATTTTATTTATATCTTGATTTTAATTTTGATGTGAATTATAATTGTTATTTTGCCTTTTAATTTTAATGGTTTGAATATTTTAGAGAAGAAATGAATGTCAAAAATAGCTTTAAATTATTTACATTTGGAATTTTTTTTTACCCTTGGGAAATGATGTTTTATTTTTTTATATCCTTTAGATCTGGGTCAGATCTGGTCTGCCACTTGTTTTTACACAGGTTTTATTGGGATACACCTAGGCCCACATTTTTATGTAGTGTCTATGGCTATTTTCATGTTGCTACATCAGAACTGAGTAATTGCTACAGATACTGTGCGACCTGCAAAGCCAGAAATAATGACAATTTAGCCATTTGCAGATAAAGTTTGCTGACTCCTGCTGTAGGTCATTGAGAATGTGTACAATTTGTACCATAATAAAATGACAAAGTATGAAAGTAGAATTTAAATTGGAAGAAAAACTAAAAAGCAATAAGAAATAAAAACTTTTCAAGTTAGTGCTTAGAAGGTAAGAAATGGAGCACATTTCAGTACAGCATGGCCCACGTAACATCTGCAAGCAGGTCATTATAAATTTTTTATTTAAAGAAGATGTAATGAAAATGGTCAAGGAAATTATTCTCATCAAATCCATGACTGGGACTGGTCCGATAAAACTTCCACAGTGTCAAATTCTCATTAAATGAACCTATAACTTCTGATCCAAACAATAAAAACAAGAGAGAAAATTATTTATATCAAATGTATAATTCAGAGCCAGCAAATCTCATTCTGGGATATTTGACGGAAGTTGAAAACACTACATTTATAAAATCTGCAAACTGGATAAGAAAGTCAGAGTCTCTGGAACTTGACTCTGTTTATTGGATAATGATTCTGGAAAATGGCTGTCATATCCTGATGTGAATGAAAGTGTTCCTAGCAAAGCACAATCTGATTCAAATCAATGATTACAGTTTTCCATTGGATAAACATGGCAGAAAATTCATATTTCCTTTTTTTATAGAGTTTATTATTTTTTTAGAGCAGCCGTAAGTTCACAGCAAAACTAAGGGGAAGGTACAGAGATTTGCTGTGTACCTTTGGCTCTATCACAGGTGCAGCCTCCCTCACTGTCAGCAACCCCCCACCAGAGCGGCACACTTGCTACGGCTGATGAACCTGCAGTGACGTGTCATTATTGCCTGAAGATCAAAGTTAAGGTTCACTCTTGGTGTTACACATTTTATGGGCTTGAACAAAGGTATATAATGACAGGTACTCATCATTAATAATATCATACAGAGTAGTTTTACTGCCCTAAAAATTCTCTGTGTTCCACATATTTTATTTAAAACCAGAATTCTTTTAAATTTGGAAAGAAACTGTTCTAAGTTCAAGGACAAAATGTCTTGTTACTACTGCTATATATTTCTTAAGCAACGTTCATAACTGGTTTGGCCAATGAAAATATTTGTGATTGGAAACACATTCTTGATGAAGAGAATATGAAATATCACATCCACATAAAATTAGCAAATACTAGAACAAAAAGGCTGAAAATACGACAAACAACTGATATTTTTCAATGAAGAAGCAAATATGGAACAGAACACCGAAATTGTTTTAATGTTCTTAAAAGAATATTAAAAGACATCATGTGTTCAATATTTAACAAAGCACAATGGTGTTTATTACAGGACTAATTTTTCAGTTCTACTGAGGTAAACCTGACAAAATTATAATACATTTAAAGTGTACATGGTGATGATTTGGTATAAATATGTGATGTGTAGGGATTCCTCCCATCTAGTTAATTAATAAATCCATCACCTCCCTTTTATATACATATGTAATTTTGTGAGAACATTTAAGTTCTACTCTCAGCAAATTTCAGTTATACAATACAGCGTTATCAACTATACTCATTACACATTAGATTCTTAGACCTTTTTCAGTGCATAGCTAAAAGTTTGTAACCTGTTACCAACCTATCCTTAATACTTAAACAAAGAATGGAAAGGTTGTATCTAGTAGAAATAATTTCCAAATTTGTTCATAGAATGCTAAACATGTAATGTGAATTTAAAATTAAGAAATAAGACCTCTTTTGGATAGGGAATTGAAATTATACAATTAATTTATTAAATAAGCAAGGAGGAAAAGAAAAATACTTTAAAATATAACTAATTTTAACAGGATTTCAAAAGTTGAGAAACTCCTCAAATAAAAATCTATTTGAGAAAAAAATGAATTTTGGTATTTAGTGGAAAATGAATTATGTAATTAATTTTGAATGTGTACTATCAATGTTGCTTGTCATTTATGTTAGTAAAAGATAATAAATAGCAGCAACACAAAAATGAGATGTGGTTGTCAACTTCATTTTTAAAAGGATTAAGATAATTTTAAAATTGGGGGAAAAATTGTTTTTCTAAGTCACAAGAAACTATATGTTAAATATGCAACAAATGTGACATTTCATTAAAATAGAAGGAAATTACAGCAAGAAATGAAAGTGTTTTCTTACTATGCAGAAAACTATTTATGTACAAACATTTCCAAAACTAATTTCTACAGGGAATATTTTCTGGCCGTTAGCAAGTTATGGTCTCAACTGAAGAGAGATTGGAACGAATTGAGCAACACACTTCTATTTTCAGTTCTCTTTATAAAATTTCAGCATTGACAATATTAAAAGAAAAGGGATACTGTGTGATTCTAGGTATTACCTTATTATACTTCAAAAATCCCATAAAAGTGATAGAAATCTAGATCTTGTAGTTAAACAATTTTGCAATGTTTTGGGATGATTGATACTTTATTGCTGGCATCCACTCCTATGGTAATGTTTGAACATGATTTGTTAATTTCATGTTTTATTTCTGAATTTAAGTACTACTTTAAATTTTTATTGACAATTCCAGTTGCTGCTACTTGAGAAGAACAAAGTTTTTCCAAATTAATGAATTAAACTATTTAAGAACTAAAAGGTCTCAAAAAATCTTATCTGGTTTGGCTGTCAAGACAATACAATTACTGAAAATCTTGACAACATAATAAATTTGCAGTAATTTTATAAGATAAATATATATTTAAAAAGTGAATACTACTATTTCTGCAGCTATTATTTTACTAGTTAACCAAACATTTCGGTCCATCAACAAAACTCCCATATATGCACACTGAAAGTTAAATTCAGTTTTCTTTGATATTTTGCCAACTTTTGGCCATATACAAACAAAACTTTCAACTTTGTTGTTTGGAAGATGTATGGGTTAAGGACGAAGAAGATATGAAATGTTTTATTTAGCAGCTCATGGTGAAACTTGTGTGTTTAGATATGTGCAGTATGTGGACTTCCGTTCATCCTCTCAGCTCTCAAGCACAGGGGCCTCCTCTTCTTCATGGGTTTTCATGAGGAACGTGGGATGAGATGAAATGTATAAGCGTGTTGACTCCAGACAAGTGACGTGCTGTTGTCTTTCATTGTGCCTTCTCTTTACTATCACTGTACTTCGTTTGGGTCTTTAGTCCCGGATCCTAGGGACTGGGGAGGTTGCTCCACACTAACCATTCAGCATTTTCTTCCAATTTGATGCCTTCTGCTTCCTTTATGGATAACAAAAAGATATTTTGTTTTTGAATGAACCCACCTAAGCAGGCTGCTTTTGTTGAAAATCCAAAGAAAGTTGCTTTCGGATTTCTCCTCCCTGCTTCCAGGGAGGATAAACGTCTTACCACCTAGGAGGAGAAGCCACAGCCTGTCACGATGCAGACCTATGACATTTAATGATTTTTCAAATAACGAAGGTTGTGCTACTATATTTAAGCAGTTATTACATATCTTATGTGCCAAAGTTGTTAAAAATAACAGAGGACTGTTATCTTAAATGTGAGAAACCAAATCATTTTTTTAAATGTGATTAATTCTGTGAGCTTGGACCTCTTTAAGGTACATTACATGTGGTAAGCGGCATTCCATGGGAACTTTCTCAGCATGTGTCCAGCGATGTAAACAAAAAGTTAAAATAGTGCTTACACTCTCCCTGGCATTCATTAGCATAGCAAAGCAAGCAGGACCTAACCACATTTTATATAAAAAGACTTTAGAAATCTGTGTCTGCTTACATTAGCATTATTCAATCTGCAGGTGCCAACTACATGCATAGAAACGATTTATTTATAGGCCTATCACCAAAATGTGTTCTTCATTAATTCATATTTCTCGCAGCCTCACATTACTGCTTGAACTCATCCAGGTGGTTTTTAAATGCTGAGGGTAATTTAAAGCTGAGCAAATTCATGCACACTCTGTTTTTCAGTGCTTAAACATAATTGAATGGAAATGTTCTTACCGCTCGATTTGATATTTTTGTCAACTTGTTTGCATTTAATTAACATGAAGAATACCATGAATGTGAGCTTGGCTGGACCTTAGGAGTTAAAACCCACCTTGGCAGGGAAATCAACCTTGAAATTCTTGCCAGAGATATTTAGAAATCTATTTCTCAGAAGATTAAAGCTGAAAATCCAAAGTAACTGCATTTTAGTCCAACAATACAATTCAATGAATTTGGGTAATATTGAACATTTCCTTATATACGACATTCATTAAAACAGAAAAGACCTCATCTAAGGCTCATAAAGTGACGTTTCCTCCATATAATATTTTTCTGTATGTAATGCTCAAAATGTATAAGTGCTCTGGAAAACATTACAAAGGACTTTCCTTATAGATCTGTGCTTGTTGTTAAATTTATTTTGGGTTGTCCTTCTGGTTAGCATTTGCTCTTCACAGATTCGGTGAATATATAATTTTTTCAAAAGCCCCCCAGTTTACTGTTTAGTGCTGTTAATAGGTAGGAGCAGGAGAAAGTTCACATTCCTGGGCAGAGGTGCACGAGTGCATGATTTCGTCCTGATAAAGCTTCGGTTACAACCTTTCATTTTTGCTCCCAGGGAACTGTGTCTTCTAGGCTGTTCTCTGCCACTAGTGAAATGTTTGGGAGTGATCCGATCCTGA